CCCCGCTTAGGCGGCGGGAACCCCCCCCGGCCATCGAGGCGGCGCGACCCCGGCAGGGGCGGCGGCGCGCTCGGGCCTGCTCGCCCCCCCCCCTCAGGCACCGGCGGGGCGGAAGCGCGGGCCCGGCACCGGCGCGGCCCCGAGGGCGAGCCCGGCCCGAAGGCGAGGAGGACCCCGCCGCCCTCCGGCCCGGCCGCCCGCTCGGCCGCTCGCCCACCCACCCCGGCCGGCCGCGCCCCGCCCGCCCGCCCGCCGACGGCCCTGCCCGCCGGCCCGGCCTGGATGTTACCTTCATCAGCCTCCTGCTGGCCGCCATCTTGGATCTGCTGCCGCTGCCCCACAATGCATCGCGGCGGCGGCGGCGCTTCCTGGAAGGCCGGGCGGGCGGGCGCGAGAAGCAGGGTGGCTGGCCCGCGCGAGGCGAGTCTGCTGGGAGGGCGGTCGGGCGGGAGGGCGGAGAAGGAGAAGGAGAAGAAGAAGAAAGAGAGGAGGGTGGAGGAGGAGAAGAAAGGGAGGGTGAAGAAGAAAGGGAGGAGGAAGAGAGTGGAGGAGAAGAAAAAGGAAGAGTGGAGGAGAAGAAAAGGAGGAAGAGAGTGGAGGGGAAGAAAAGGAGAAGAAGGTGAAGAAAGCGAGGAGGGTGGAGGAGAAGAAAGGGAGGGTGAAGAAGAAAGGGAGGAGGAAGAGAGTGGAGGAGAAGAAAAAGGAAGAGTGGAGGAGAAGAAGAGGAAGGGAGTGGAGGAGAAGAAAAGGAGAAGAAGGTGAAGAAAGGGAGGAGGATGGAGGAGAAGAAAGAGGGTGAAGAAGAAAGGGAGGAGGAAGAGAGTGGAGGAGAAGAAAAAGGAAGAGTGGAGGAGAAGAAGAGGAAGGGAGTGGAGGAGAAGAAAAGGAGAAGAAGGTGAAGAAAGGGAGGATGGAGGAAAAGAGGAAGAAGGGGAAGAAGAAGAGGAGGAGAGTGGAGGAGAAGAAGAGGAAGAGAGTGGTGGAGAAGAGGGTGGAGGAGAAAGTGGGAAGGAAAGGAGGGAAGAGTGAAAGAGCAGGAACGTGAAAAAGAGGAACAAAGTGATAGCTAAGATGAAGCAGGAAAGGGATGATGAAGGATGAGAGATGATGAAGAAGACAAGATGAGGGTGAAGAAGGAGCAAGTGAGAAGAGGATGGAAAAAAGGAAGATCATGAGGATGGAGAAGAGAAGGAAGGTGAAGAGGAGGAACAAAGTCTTGAGGGTGAAGAAGAAAGGAGGGATGAAGAATGGGAAGAAGGTGGAGAAAAAAGGAGGAAGACAATATGGAGAAGAAGAAGGTGAAGTGACGGTGAAGAAAAAGGAAGAGGAAAAAAAGAATGTGGAGATGATGAAGAAGAAGGCAGGGTGATGGTAAGGGAGCAAGTAAAGAGGATGGAGAAAGGAGGAGGCTGAAATAGAGAAGAGGAAAAAGGTGAATTAGAGGAACAAAATCTTGATGGTGAAGAAGAAAGTGAGAAAAAGTGCAAACTGCAGAGGAGGAGGAAGAAAGTGGTGAAGAAAAAGAGGAAGAAACAGAGGATAATGAAAAGGAAGAATGTAGAGAATGATGAGGAAGAAAATAAAGATGAAAGTGAAATTATTGATTCAATTATTCCTCCAGTATTTTAAAAGTGAACTGTTGTTTTCCAGTCTTCTGAAACTGGTGCCTTTTCCCTGTTGGTTTTCTGATTGCGTTAGATTTGATTTGATTTGGTGCCCTCATCTGGTTATATCTCCAATTAATTTAGAGTAAAATATTTTTAAAAAGTGCATTTGATAAGGCCTGGAAAACTAAACCCCAAAAGCAAGCATATTCTCCTTTGCATCGTGGACTGAGGCTGTTTTTTAAAATAACAAACTGCCTTAGAGTACGCTATTTTTAATTGTTCTGAATGGCTTTGTATACAATATGTAGAAACATAGGATGCAAACAGAAATATAAGTAGATCAGCAAATTCCAAAGCCTCAGCTCTGGCTGATAAAGGTTTGTTTGTTTGTTTTGATTTTGATGTGTATTTTCTTACCGGCTGCTTTTAGATGCTTAAAAATACAACTCTTGTGCATTGATAGGAGAGTTGTGGGCAAGGATGACATCAGTGCTTCCTTACTTAGCAGCCGGCGTAAGATTTTGAAGCCATTAATAATCCATGTAACCTATTTTGCAGACTAGCTTAAATTAGCCAGTGAAGCAAAAATAACGGATGGTTTTTTTTTTTATTATGCAAGAAAGACGCACGTTACTTTTCCCGGCACAGACAATTCACTTGGTAGCTGTCTTGGCATTCTTTCTGGAGTAGAACGGCAGGGTATAAATGAAAATAAATAAATTAGAAATTGAAAACCAAAGAAGCACAAACTGGCCACGGCAGACTCTGGGATGCTACAACCGTCGTAAATACACGTTGATTGCCCAAAAGCCCGAATTTTGATCATGTGATGTGGGAATGCTGCCACAGTCAGTAAGCGGCACTGTTTTCAGTGCCGTTTGCAACTTCAAATGATCGCTAAACAAATGGTTGCGAGTCAAGGACTGCATATATTGTTCGAGTCAGCCAAATTAAAAAGTGCCTTTAAATTCCCAGGATCTTAAGGGCTGCTTTGATAAATGTTTCAAGGGTATGCGATGCCTTTACTTTCCTAAGTAATGCTCATGTGTGCCACTGGATGGCAGAAAATCCTAAAAAATAATCTAGGGGAGACTTTCTTTTACAACCAGAGTGAAGTTTTCTTCTAAGATAACAATAACAGAGTTGGGAGGGACCTTGGAGGTCTTCTAGTCCAACCCTCTTCCCAAGCAGGAGTCCCTATTTCATCTCAGGCAAATGGTGGTCCAGTCTCTTCTTAAAAACATCCAGGGATGGAGCACTCACAAATTCTGGAGGCAAGGTTAATTGTTCTAACTGTCAGGAAGTTTCTCCTTAGTTCTGGGTTGCTTCTCTCCGTGATTAGTTTCCACCCGTTGCTTCTTGTCCTGCCTTCAGATGCTTTGGAGAATAATTTGACTTTTTTCCGTGACTTTGAAGAGTCACTAAATTAATGTAAGTTGAGGGCTTCTTTTACCTCACACATAACAACGGTGAAGTAATTAATTGAAGTGAGCCAGGGGAAATCCGTATTTCCTGGACGATGTTGACATTTGTAGTGGTTAAGTGGCCTCAAAAAGCCCATCTTCAAGAGTAGAACCTGCCTTCCATGTTCTTTTCTGGTTTCCCACCACAGTAGTCGGACTCAAGGAAGACATCTCAATGGCGTCTGTCCGTCAGGAGTTTCTCGAAATTGAGAAGGGTGCAGGGAACTGGACCGAGAGAAATCAAATATTTCTGGTCTTGCTTGCTGAAAACACACGGGATGTTTTTGTCTGGATTAGAACTGAGAATTGGATATGTCTAGCTTAATAAAAAGAAGGACTAGGGGTGACAGGATAGCAGTGTTCCAATATTTGAAGGGCTGCCCCAAAGAAGACGGGAGTCAAGCTATTCTCCAAAGCACCTGAAGGCAGGACAAGAAACAATGGATGGAAACTAATCAAGGAAAGATCAAACCTAGAATTAAGGTGACATTTCCTGACAGTGAGAACTATCAGTGGAACACTTGCCTCCAGAAGTGGGTGTACCAACACTGGAAGTTTTTAAGAAGAGACTGGACTGCCAAATGGTATAGGATCTCCTGCTTTAGCAGGGGGTTGGACTAGAAGACCTCCAAGGTCCCGTCCAACTCGGTTATTCTGTTCTGTTTCTTAGAAAACCTTCAGAGAGATGAAATCAAGAAATCCATCCCTTCTTCCTTCCAAAGTCAGGAAAAAAAAATTCTAAAACCATCCGAGATAAGACGCAAAAACAGATGTCTCGCTCGGAGGGGTGAAAAACTTTCAGGAAATTTCAGCATCAGATGAACCCAGCTGCAGTCCTGTCTCTAAATCTTTGATCTTAGATATATATATATTTAAAAATTAAAAAACAAACCCACCACCAATCTTGCCTCTTTGTCAGAGATTTATCTCTCCCGTTCCTCCCGAGACTTGTCACACCTGCTAATTCCACTTGACTCGCTGGGGAGACATTACGTCAGGCCCTCCGCTAAATCCTGTCACTTCAGAGCCAGAAATCGTGATAAATAATAACAACAATCATTCTCTTTCCGTGACTTTCACAGGCAAACTTTTTTTCCCCCCTTTTTTGGATGGGGGAAAACGGGTAGGCATTTCCACATGGCTGATCCCGAAGAGATTTTGGATTGCTTGAGATTGCTAGAGCAACGTGGTTTCGGGTTTTTAAAAGAATCTCCTTGAGGTTGCACAAGAGTTTACTAAGCAGTTACCCTGATCAACTACAGGAAGTCCTTGAGTTACGACAGTTAGAATAGAATAGAATAGAATAGAATAGAATAGAATGGAATGGAAAGGAATGGAATGGAATGGAATGGAATGAGGAATAGAATAGAATAGAATAGAATAGAATAGAATAGAATAGAATAGAATAGAATAGAACTACCCTGTAACTCCGCTGATCTATTACAATTTCTTAGGAGGTTCTTGGGAAGAACGCAGTGCAAATTACAGCCAACACGATCTAAAGATCCGGCAGCTGCGTTTTCACATTGTCGTTTATATAATAACCATCATAATTCTAAACTAATGGGTGTGCCTGCAGTGAAAATTTGCATTGCAATCTGTTTTCACTAAAGTGTCCCCAACCAGCTAAAGGAGGTGATAATTTTCCTGGCACTCCGATAACAATTTTCTTTGCCATTCCAGCAAGATTTCTGCAAAAAAAAAAAAAAATGGAAGAGGGAGGCGCTAAATCTCTGCAGACCGAGTATGTGCGTGTGTGTGTGTGTGTGTGTGAAGTTGCTGGCCTTGTGTGCATACTGCATTTTCGTGTCAGCTTTGGCACGAGTCCTGAATTGATGGATGTAAAATTTCCTGGCTCCGCTCTCCAGTTCCTCTCCTGCTCACAGTTCTGGATCGCTGCCCGGACTATGTGAGTGTAATATGTAAAGCTGTCGGATGCCTTGGACAATATCTGAACTCTTGAGACAAAAGGTAGGGGGGGAAAAAGAGAGGAAAAAGAGAACCAGATTCCAGGTCAAATGTTGACCTGGTCCTCCCAAATACACAACAGGGAGTGGAAGGCCTTAAGACTCCATGCGGTTCAAAAGTCTGGATGAAATCCTGAAAACTTTTCCAGACTCTACAGAAAAAGGCAGCGCTACACACTTCACAGGGGCCAGCCCCATGAAGGAGTTTTTAGCTTAGTTTCCGTGCAGGGCCAACGACATTAAATCGACTTTTGCTTCAGCCTGGACCTCACCTATTTTTAGGAGTGACTTCTTCACTGCCTGTCA